GAGGCTGAGGCAAGAGGATCCCCTAAGCCAGGCATCCTCAAACTACAGCCCGTGGGCCACATGCAGCCCACCTAGGACATTTATCCAGCCTGCTGGATGTTTTTGCCACCACTGCCTGTCCTGCTTAGCAGCCAACTTGTCCCGGGCCTGCAGTCTAGCCCTCCGACGGTCTGAGGGACAGTGAACTGGTCCCCTATTTAAAAAGTTTGAGGACCCCTGAAGCACAAGAGTTGGAGGTTGCTGTGAGCTGTGACAGCACCGCACTCTACTGAGGGTGATAAAGGGAGACTCTACCTCTTAAAAAAAGAAGTGTAATTTGGGCTCTGTGCAATAGCACAGTGGTTACGGTGCCAGCCACATACCCCGAGGCTGGCAGGTTTGAACCCCGGGCCAGCTAAACAACAATAATCAACTGCAACAAAAAATAGCCAGGCGTTGTGGCAGGCACCTGTAGTCCCAGTTACTGGGAGGCTGAGGCAAGAGAATTGCTTGAGCCCAAGAGTTTGAGGTTGCTGTGAGGTGTGACGCTGTGGCACTCTACTGTGGGTGACATAGTAAGACAGTGTCTCCAAAAAAAAGAACTGTAATTTGCTTTAACCCTAGAGCCCTGTAATGGGTCCCTTGCCATTAGCTGGGGCTAGTGGTGGTTTTAAAAATCCCTGCACGATGGCTTGTCTCATCTGTGCTTTGAGTCCAGCAGTGATGACCCTCTTCAGCTTGTCAGTGTTTTAGCGCTCATGCAACCCCTGTGAAGGCAGAGGGTCTACTCTTGCAGGGGAAGGAAGGAGAGAAACACTAGGATGATGCCAGGCCAGGATTCTCTTTCAGTTTTTTACTCCAGTTCTGCCTCACTTTGTTAAAGAGAGAGCAAGCTTTCAAATTGAGTTTGGAGTCAGGTGCAGTGGCTCATACCTATAATCCTAGCACTTTGGGAGGCCAATACAAGAGGATGGCTCGAGGCAAGAGTTTATGACACCTTAAGCAACATAGCAAAAACCTGTTTCTACCAAGAAGTTAAATTACATTTTAAAAAAGACAGAATAAAGTTTGGATTTTTCGTGTATATTGCTAAATTATCTATTTGATTTAATAATGTGAAATATAAGAAACATTTTTTTAAACTTTATTTAAATTTAAATTTTAAATAAACAATGAATTGATTTATTTTTCTTTAGGGAACCTCAGGGCCTGATCCAACTACTGTGTATGTAGATCTGAAATCATTAAGACATGACAGGTATGGTGGATTTATTATGCTCGTTCCCTAATAGAGTTCCTAAGTATGAAAAGTTCTGACCTCAAAGCCAGTGTTTTCCCTCATTCCTTTTCTGTTTGTATCTTTCAGGAGGGGTATCGGAAGAGGGAAGGAATTTGGTTTTTTTATCAGTAATACATGATAAGATTTATGTTTATAAGGAGAAAGCTTTAATTCTCACAGTTGCTACACTGTTCTTTAGTAATAAAATGTTATACTTAGTTATTGCCTATATAAAAGTATTCTGTGACATTTGATATAAATTAAACTAAAATGGGCCCGGCGAGATGGCTCATTCCTATAATCCAAGCACTCTAAGAGGCCAAGGCAGATAGATTGCTTGAGCTCAGGAGTTTGAGACCAGCCTAAGAAAGAGCAAGACCCCATCTCTACTAATAGAAAAACTATCCAGGCATTGTGGTGGGTGCCTGTGGTCCCAGCTACTAGAGAGGCTGAGGCAGGAGGTTCACTTAACCCAGGAGGCTGAGGTTGCTGTGAGCTAGGCTGATGTCACAGCACTCTAACCTGGAGTACCAGAGTGAGACTCTTATGTCAAAAAAAAAGAACTAAAATGGATAGTCTCTTTTCTCTAAAAATTTAAAATAAAAGAAAAAGATGGGGATGCACACAATCACTGAGGTGCAGAGTAAGGTCTTTGAAACAACACTTCATCTGAACCCCATGCACAAAAACCTGCCCCCTCTGTCCCCGACTTATAAGAAAACTATAGCTGTGTCCCAAGGTGAGCACTGGCTCAAGCCCCAATGACTTGGGTACCCCAGGTGTCCCATGGCACTAACCCACCCTTCACCAGTGTGGCATCTCATGCTGTGGTCTGAAACCTAGGGAGATTTTGCTCCCAGAGGATGTCAGAAAAGGGGGTTGCTACTGACATCTAGTGGGCAGAGACCAAAGATGTTGCTAGACCTCCCACAAAACAGAGGACAGTCCTTAAAACAAAAATTACCTGACCCAAAATGTTAGCAGTGTTGAGTCTGAGAAACGGTGCTCTAGTGTGAGGAAGGGCAAAGCCGAAGTCTTGGGAGGGCAGTGCTCAGCGGCTGGGGGTGTGGGCGAGTGGATTTCCTAAAGGCCTTTCTATAGTAAACGTTGTTTTCATGCAGAGTTCGTCTTGTGGAACGAGGTGCCCCCCAGAGTTTGCTCCTTTCAGAGTCGGGAAAGGTAATTTCTTCTGTTAACGGTAGGGAGGGTGGGCTGTGTGGAGAAGCGGTTCATAGAGGAAAGCCTGAAGCCGTGGGGCATGACTTCGTCAGAATCTGGAGATAATTCTACAATTTCAGTTTAGCTAATACTTACATATTCATATTTGATTATTTGATTTGAACTTTCTTAATTCCCATAGATATTTTTTAAAAAATCCAACTGACATATTATTCTTATTAACAAACCAGCAAAATACAGTGTTCATTATATGCAAGGTGGAGAGTGGTGTAAAATCAAATGGGAATGAAATTAAAGATAGTCAAGAGTTAACATATGACTATGCATGGTGGTCACACCTGTAATCCTAGCACTCAGGGATGCCGAAGCAAGTGAATCACTTGAACTCAGGAGTTCATGACCAGCCTGAACAAAAGCTAGACCCTGTCTCTAAAAGTAGCCAGTCCCAGCTACTTGGGAGGCTGAGGCAAGAGGATCACTTGAACCCAAGAGTTTGAGGTTGCTGTGAACTACAATAACACAGCACTGTACAGAGGGCAACAAAGTAAGACTCTCTCAAAAAAAATAAATAAAATGGTTAACATCCATGGTGGTAAGAGTTTTTATGATGGCTCGGCGCCTGTGGCTCAAGTGGCTAAGGCACCAGCCACATACACCTAAGGTGGCGGGTTCAAATCCAGCCCGGACCCACCAAACAACAATAATGGCTGCACCCAAAAAATAGCCGGGCGTTGTGGCGGGCACCTGTGGTCCCAGCTACTTGGGAGGCTGAGGCAGGAGACTTGCTTGAGCCCAGGAGTTGGAGGTTGCTGTGAGCTGTAATGCCATGGCACTCTACCCAGGGGGACAGCTTGAGGCTCTGTCTCAAAAAAAAAAAAAAAAAAGTGTTTTTATGATGTCAAAGGAGAGATTTAATTATGAGTAACTTACTACAGATGATGGGCTGCTCAGATGCGCTATCAATCTGTGAAGATAAAGTTCAGTTTCTCAGCCCTTTGATGAGATAGTGATGACGCTTTTGAATCCCTTCTAGTCGTTCTGAAAGGCAAAGAGATTGGGAAGGAAAAAGAAAGAGTCCTTGGCTCGGTGCCTGTGGCTCAAGTGGCTAAGGCACCATCCACATACACCTGAGCTGGCAGGTTTAAATCCAGCCTAGGCCTGCCAAACGACAATGACAGCTGCAACCAAAAAAATAGCCAGGTGTTGTGGTGGGCATCTGTAATCCCAGCTACTTGAGAGGTTGGGGCAGGAGAATCACTTGAGCCCAGGAGTTTGAGGTTGCTGTGAGCTGTGATGCCATGGCACTCTACCCAAGGCAACAGCTTGAGGCTTTGTCTCAAAAAAAGAAAGAAATAGGGCGGCATCTGTGGCTCAGTGAGTAGGGCGTCAGCCCCATATACTGAGAGTGGTGGGTTCAAACCCAGCCCCTGCCAAACTGCAACAAGAAAATAGCCGGCCTCATGGTGGGTGCCCGTAGTCCCAGCTATTCGGGAGGCTGAGGCAAGAGAATCGCCTAGGCCCAAGAGCTGGAGGTTGCTGTGAGCTGTGATGCCACAGCACTCTACTGAGGGTGACAAAGTAAGACTCTGTCTCTAAAAAAAGAAAGAAAGAATCCTGCCAGTGGTGTTTCATCCATGGGAGCAGCTTCATTTACTCTCCTCTATTTGAACACTTCACAGTGGGATTTGGTTGGTTTCATTCCTGCCTGGTCAAAGCTTTGCTTGCCTAGCAGTCAGGCTCGCTTGGGAAATGGAGGGAGCAGCTCTTTTGTGCCTTTCTTAAGGTTTTAGAGGATGATCATTGAAGGGCTTCTCAGGTGACCTTATACTTTAAAAACCCAAGATAAAAAGAGAGTTACAAATGGGGAGAATATGAGTAATCAGAGAGCTTTTTCTTTTGTTAGAATGACTGAGACGGGCGGTGCCTGTGGCTCAAAGGAGTAAGGCGCCAGCCCCACATGCCAGAGCTGGTGGATTCAAACCCAGCCCTGGCCAAAAACTCCAAAAAAAAAAAAAGAATGACTGAGGCATTCTCTCAGCCAGCATCTATTTCTACCTTTTCCCTCCTGAGGAAGATCCCAGGCATGGGATCTCCCTCTGGCTCAAGCTGGTCTCCAGCACCTGAGCTCAGGCCATCCACCTGCCTTGGCCTCCCACAGTGCTGAGATTACAGGTATGAGCCACTGTACCTGGCCCTACTTCTACACATTCTTACTGTTAAGGTCCTCATCCCTTTGAAGAGAGAACAGACTGGTTCCCTGTTTTTATTTTTGAAGATGAATCTTACTAGATCTCTCATCTTCACTCAACTGAGGAAGATTTGGTGAGAGCAACACAGGTGTCTCCTCAGGGTGAACACTGTGATGCCTGATTCAGCTAGTTCCTGCCCTCTGTGCCACTTCTACATCTCCAGCAGGTAGCTGCATTTCTAAGGTCGTTAGATTTCATTAAACCCAATCTTTGTATTTTCCCTTTGAATTTTAGATTTTACCTGGTGTAAAAGTGGTTATTGTGAATCCTGAGACCAAAGGGCCTGTTGGAGACTCACACCTTGGAGAGGTTTGTATCATTTTCGTTTTTACTCAGAAAAGTCAGCAGTAAAACACATTAGGGTCCACGTTTTAGAAATGAGTGAAATCGGGCAGTGCTTGTGGCTCAGGAGTAGGGCGCCAGCCCCATATACGAAGGGTGGCAGGTTTGAGCCCAGCCCTGGCCAAACTGCAACAAAAAAATAGCCGGATGTTGTGGTGGGCGCCTGTAGTCCCAGCTACTCGGGAGGCCGAGGTAAGAAAATTGCTTAAGCCCAGGAGTTGGAGGTTGCTGTGAGCTGTGATGCCATGGCACTTTACCAAGGGCGGTAAAGTGAGACTCTGTCTGTCTCTAAAAAATAGAAAAAAGAGGGCGGTGCCTATGGCTCAAAGGAGTAGGGTGCTGGCCCCATTTGCAGGAGGTAGCAGGTTCAAATCCAGCCCCGGCCAAAAACTGCAAAAAAAAATTATGGATTTAGTATTTCCCCCATGGCGGATAGAGTTAATCTTTTTCTGTAAGGCTTGAGACTGAAATGGATAGAAGGAGAAGGTTTAACTGGGGAAGATTTAGGCACCAAACTGGAAATGGTCCCAGATTTGTCCACTGACACTCCTTGGCTGGAAAGGAAAATGGGCAAATCCTCTCTGTTCCCACCTGTTAATGGGTAGAACCTAAATATACTTTAAGTTTTTAAAAATCATGCAATGCTATATTATTTTCTAAAATTTACCCATTTTTATATTAGTATAAAAATATTCTAAAACACTTAATTTTTCTTCCCCCAAACCTTTGAAGGACATCCATGTTTCATCTCACAGCTTAGAGGGAGGAGGAGTGTTATATGTGCAGGAGCCAGATGACCAGGGTTCTGCCGCTTACCAGCTTCTCAGTGTTGGGCAAGTTTTACCTCCCTGTTCAGCACAGAGTACACACTTGTTAAATGTCAGATGCTTTTATTGTTGCAGTTATTGTTGTTAATATAAAAAGGAGATTTAAAGGCCAGGTTGGGTGGCTCATGCCTGTAAATCTTAGCATTCTGGGAGGCTGAGGCAGAAGGATCCTTCCAGCTCAGGAGTTGAAGACCAGCCTGCACAAGAGAAGACCCTGTCTTTACCAAAAACAGAACAACTAGCCAGGTGTTGTGGCGGATGCCTGTAGTCCCAGCTACACTGGGGTCTGAGGCAAGAGAATCACTTGAGCCCAAGAGTTTGAGGTTGCTGTGAGCTATGACACTACAGCACTCTACAAGGGTGACAAAGTGAGACTCTGTCTCAAGAAAAAAAAAAAAAGAATGTCGTCTCTGGAGACCCATAGACATGCAGGTATGAGTGTTGTGAGTTGCCCACTTCCCTACATCTAAGATGGACTTTCTTTCTTTCTTTCTTTTTTTTTTT